GAACTGTACTTAGTTCGTTGAGTTATTATTAATATTGTTGTATTTACCCATCGAATAAATAACATTATCATCATCGTCATCAGCAGTGTCATAGACCAATCCGCTAGGCTAATGGACCTTCTCTACACAAAAGGCCTGTTTACAAACTTCCCCTAATCTCCACGCTTCACATAGTTGGAGATCGTAGTTCAGAAATATCTACCTACCTAATTTATTTTATTTATATTATTTACATAACAGATGTAAGTGATACATTACACTTAAGTTATTGCTTTAATATAGCAAGATATTGCACAAAACTGCTGTCATTTTACTGTTTATAGCTAAGATTGTTCCGAGTCAGTAAGTAGTTTAAAAAGAATTATGGTGCTAGATCCAAAGAAGTATTATATTTGTACACAAAAATTTTGTTGGAATATTAAAGCATTAGATTATGAAACAAAACAAAAATCTATTCTGTCGTCTTGGTAACATAACATCACGCCTTTTATCCCTGAAAGGGTAGGCAGAGGTGCACATTACGGCACTTAATGCTACTGTAAAATGTAACACCCACTTTTCACTATTTAGTTTATGAGTCCCATGTACCTAATAGGGGGTGAGCCTATTGTCATATACCGGGCATAATACCTTCTTCTCTTGGAAACTATGCCTAAGGAAGTGTTATGTTTTTAACCGATTTCCAAAAAAGAGGAGGTTCTGAATTCGTCTGTATATTTGCTTTTATTTGTTTAGACGCAGTTCAGACTATGGTTTCATTTTTCTTCAAAGTTCATTTCATTTAAGTCTATTTTTCATACACCATTTCGAGTGTAAATATCGATAAAAAGTGTAAGTAAATATCGATATTTACACTCGATACGAATACCTACAAAAAGAAAAACCCTCTTATTTTTCACGTGCTGATGAAAAATATTCATTAACTATTTTTTAATTAACAAAATACTTACGACAAAAATGTTCAATGTAATACGGCAATAACTTCGGGCATTTAAAAATAAATTTTACTGAACAGCTCTTGCTCTGTGTTATTATTGTTCAAAATGTTTAAAATGAACGACCAAACTAAATTGTAACCTATGTTACTTGAACACAGCTCAATTTCTTTTTTATTTTATTTTGTCTACTAACTCCTTGAAAATATTTGCTTTCTAATACTAGAATATGCCAAAAATGATGTTATGTTTATCGAGGGTAGAGGTTGTTATTCTGTCTAGAAATTTCATAATGGGTTGTGCGAAGTAATATCGTAACTGAGGCCTATATCTTAGTATGAAATGAGAAATGGTTTAATCTAGGCCTCTTAGTACATAACGTTACATTCCGGAATGAGGTTTATGAGGTCCAACATTTATGTCTGTCCGATATTAATATTATTAACTGACAGGCTACATGATATAGGTACCCACATTACATGAAGTAGGTACTTGAAAATAAGACACAAGACTTTCGCCTTCTCAACTTGATCGTTGTGAGTTTGTGAGTCATGAATGCTAGTGTACCTATACCTGGAAATTATTTCTCTATATGAATTTGGTAAACAATCATGTAAGTTTTCTCTTCAGCATTTCGCAGTGAACGTTTCAGCGCTTTACTTAGCTTAATTAAAATAGCTGCATTAGGTATCGTGTAAAAAATATCATAATTTAAGTGTGGGAGAGCCATGCTTCGGCACGAATGAGCCGGGTAGACCGGAGTGATACCACGGCCTCACAGAAAATGGTGTTTCGTCGTGTGAGAGAGGTTACTGAAGGCCCAGCTACCCTCTCCCCTTCCCCAATCTCCCCAAACCCCGAATACCCCGTAATCCTCAAACTCCTAATCCCTAAAAGACTGGTAACGCACTTGTAATGTTTCTGGTGTTCCAGGTGTCCATGGGCGACGCCGATTGCTTACCATCATGTGATCTGTCTGCTCGTTTAACGGCTTATGCCATAAAAAATCATAAATGTTACAAAAACATAAAAAGACAATGTAAGCAGACATAAGACAATACAAAGAAACAATAACTTATCTAAAGATCTAATACTAAACATCTGGTTTTCACTTAAGTAGGTACTTACAAACAATATAGTCATGTTTAAGCACCTAATACCGGCGGATGACGGGAGATACAGCTTGTTGCGGTAATTAGGAATGTGGATTACGCAACACGACCATTCCAGTGCGTTTATCGAACTAGCCTGCCACCGCAGACATAAATTGTACGGACAACGCAAGTAGGCTTTACGCTTTACAGGCTGACTGAAATGAACTGGCTTAGTTCTGTCCTGCCAGTACTAATGACCAGTTTTTGAACTGCGGTTAGGTTGTCTTTCTTAAATTCATTTTTATTTTGATTGATTGAGTTTAAGTCATCATATAATCGGCACTCCAATAGGGAACTTCTTTATTTGAAGCACAAAAGCCAACACAATTTAGTGGCAGAATAAAAGTTGAAGACGATCGACGAAAAAAAAGTTGTTTTAATCCTCTCTAAGTTTTGAAAAAGACTAACCAAGTACCAGTACCAGGCAGGTAGTTAGGTACCTTCGTTACTGTTTAAGGACAAATAAATACCTTTAGTTAGACAGTTTTATAACCATTAATCTAGGGATCAAGACAGACAGAAACTTCATACAACTGATGTCAAAAATCTATTTATATCCACAGATTTTGGATTGGGATAAGTTAATGAGAATTGGCACTAAGTAAAGTTACAGTCCGTAAAGTTGAAGAAAGGAAACAAATAATTTTTCTAACGTTAGATACTATTGTACAACGTCATAAAAGTTCAAGTGAAGAATTTGTACAATGTACAGTGTACTCTAGTACCTACCTGAGCAGGTACCTACATAAGTATCGTTGTATATCCGAAACGCCTCTTATTTACTTACCTTCCCTTGCTAAAATACAGGCTCAGAAGGTATGGTACTTACTTTAATACCTACCGTTTTTACTTTGTTTTCTCTGGTATTTTTCCATGTTGATTTAGGAGCAAAGAAAAACAGAATGTGTCTGTTTAACATCAACCGGCGCACATGTAATTGCGGGCAATGGACCACTTTTAGGCTCTAGGCAATATTCTTCCACGCCATTTTTGTTCTTCTTTTGTAAATGGCTAAGTAAAGTGTTAAATGCGTAAGTATGTAACACGTACTTCATCAAATATGAAAGAAAAGAAATTGTTTATGGGTAACATATCATAATAGCTAAGTAATTCCTGTATCTAGATACAGAAGAGGGAGATGTTTTTAACGTTTCGTCGCTATAATATATAAAGTAAAATCGGGAGCCCATTAAGTAGATAGGTACTAAAACTGCGCTGACTGTCTGTGGCTCACCATTCACCAATCAGGCTGCAGGTTCTACATAACATCACGCCTTTTATCCCCGAAGGGGTAGGCAGAGGTGCACATAAAGGTAAAACCCAATTTTCACTATTTATGTTATGAGTCCCATGTAATAGGGGGTGAGCCTATTGCCATATACAGGCACATTTCTAGTAGTAGTAGTACACAGTAATACTTTGCCTGACCCGGGAATCGAACCAGAGATCCCTTGCCCGGCAGTCGCACATGGCCTCTCGGCTGACCACTCGGCCAACGAGGCAGTCTGCAGGTTCTACATACTTCATGAACTGTTTTATTTAGGTAAGACAGTTGAAAACAGATGATGACGTGATGTAAGTTTCTGACTACGGTATAACAACAAAAAAGTATAAAAATATGTTTAAGAGGGTTCCCATTACTAACAATGACCTTTGGCCAGAATTTAAAAAATGGCACACTGTTTTTTTTCTGCTATGTCATGGTGCTTACAAATATTTGGATTCATTAATATTTTGTTAGCTATTTATAACCCGCGACATATTTTTTTCCCAGTTGCTTATCCCCCTGTGCCATAAGTACGTGCAATAGCGTGCATAGTCTACAGGTTTTATGAACGATTCAAATCGTAATTTTGGTTTAGTTTGTTTGAATGTACCCAAGTCAGCATAGCGATCAATAATAGTGATTAAAATGTTTAGGTATATTGTTTTTCTATGTGAAATTATGCAAAGTAGTGGGACAGTGGGGACTGTCGTCAGTTTCTTCAACGATAGACAAAGGCTTCTCATAGCATGCCTATTGGAATCTACTATTTGTTTAATAATTAAAAGCAGTAGGTACTTTTGGACACAGCGCGTAACGGCGTGTTGTCCGGAAATTCCTCTCTCTGGAGCCCTGACCATTCTCCATTTTTTTTGTAATAAAATATTTTGAATCATATTAATTAAGTAAAGAAAAAATAATACAGTTACAGGATAATATGACAATAATTGTCTTTTTTAATTTTAATAACGAATTTCAACTTCTTAAAATTTTAAATAAGAACTAACTGCCATCTATTGCCTATTTGAGCAAATTATAGTAAAACTTGCCCATGTAAAAAATATATTTACTATGAAACTATTCTTTTTTCTATTCTAATTTACTTTTAATTGGTGATTAGTGGAATATTATTTAATAAATGTGTCAAAACACAAGTTGGTAAAATACGTAAAATTCTTTCCATCCTATCCTGCTGTATACAACCGATAAATGAAAACTGAAAAGTTTTAAAATTAACAAAAAATATTTAACTACGGCAACACTGGTTGTCGTGACGAATAGATTGGCTGTCTGTCTTTCGGAGTTCCATCCATCATTTCTAAACTTGATCTTTGTGAGCATGTCGGCACCAAAAGAAAGAGATAGTAAAACATGATGAGTGCATATTAGAGTGAGTAAGCGCTATAAACACGGTGTTTTAGATCATGTACTAAGTGAACGACGTGAAGTGAACCGTGCATGGAGAGTGTCATCGCGAGAGACTAAATTGTCATTGTCAAAATATAAACCAAGCTTTACGAAGCCGTGGTGTTTTTTTATTACAAAAATTAAGAATAAATATTTGTACGCTCTCAAATAACTTAAACGTGACACAGTGTGTGTTATGGTGATAATATAGATTAATTGTGATAAAATAAATTGTTTAAAATGTGCGATAGTGACGATCCGGGTGAAGGCAGATCTGGCATGGATCTGACTGGGTTTTTATTTGGTAATATTGACGAACGAGGACAATTAGAAGACGATGGACTTCTTGATGGAGACTCGAAGAAAATGCTATCATCGCTGACTCGCTTTGGATTTGGGTCGATGCTCTCGGAAGTTCTTGACCAAGAAGAAGTTAGTAAGGAAGACCAAGAAAAAGGTATTGTAGTGTTTACTAACTCATGAACTTGCTTCCTAACTTCCTTTTCCCGAGATATATGTACCTTCTTCGATTATTTAGACACCACTAGCATAAGGTGAAGGAAAATATTGTAAGAAAATCTGGACTTGTAATTTTTCCAATTATAAGTTTGAAATCGCCAATCCGCCTTGACTAAGCGTGGTAATTATTGCTCAGGCCTTTTCCATATGAGAAAGAAGGCCTTTGCTCAGTAGTGAGAATTTATAGTTTGTTGATGTGAACTGGCTTTAAATCTGTTTAGGTAGTTAAATACTACATAGTTCTTCCTATAAATTAATACAGTAATTATTATACATTTTTGTAATTCTAAACATGTTTTTACCATTAACATTTTGAATGAGGTTGTTGTTACTTCATATAAGTTTAAGAAGTTAAACTATTTTTTTTAAATAAGTAACTAGTCTAACTTTTTTCAAATTTATAGAACATAGGTAAAACATATTCTTAAATAATTGTTACAGATTATACACAAAAGAGTCCGTCTGCCGTAGACTTTTTTGATATTGATGATGCCGTTGATGATGTCAAGGTAAGATTAAAGGGATTTCAAATTAGATTTTTCATTTTCCAAATTAATGTTTGCACCATGCACATTTCTTCATTATTTGAACAATGATAATATTAACATCATTTATATTTAATGGTATTTCTTTAATTATTTAAGAAAATAATAGTACTGTACTACTATTTAGATTTTATCATTAATTGTTCAAACATGAGCTCTAACTAAAAGTAGTTTGTTTTGATTAATCACTTAATGTTAGATGCTAATTGCACTTGCACTATCAGTATTTTATAACAAAATTTTTAGTGATTGTCCCTATCCTACTTAGTAATTGGTACATTTATTAAATACGAAACAATTTACTTTTAAAAACTAGCTTCGACCCATGCTATGTCAGAATGTAGATCTACGCGAGACACATTGTATTTTTTTTGTGTCCTATATACCAGCAATCAAAGGGTTAAACAATTTTTTGTTTAAATATCTTTAGAGATAAAGTTTTTACTGACTTCCTTGTTGTTAAGACTGCCTTGTTGGCTGAGTGGTCACAAGTACTGCGCGATAAGGGGTTTCAGGTTCGATTCCTAGGTCAGGCAAAGTATTACTGGGTTTTTACAAAATTCTCAATAGGAGCACGGAGCCTGGAAGGGGTTCATAACATAAATAGTGTAAAGTGGGTGTTTTACTGTATAGTGGCTTAATGTGCACCTCTCGTTAAACCTCCGGGGATAAAAGGCGTGATGTTATGATGATGATGATAATGACAAAGTTTTTAATTTCTATCCTTGCCCTCAACCACTGAATTTATAAAAAAATGAGAAAAAACTGGGCAAAAAAATATTTTTACTAATCTTCATCTAATATGAAACCTACTTACACTTTTTTGTTTACTTTATGGGATTTTGCTTTGTGACCTAAAACCTTTTTCTTCTTGACCTCTGCTTCTGCGCACTAACTTTAACATTCGCACTAATAGCCAAATTAATTACCAATCTCAATTCACAATCTTGGATTTAGTTCGATTTTTGACAAATTGTATGAAGCTTTTGTCAAAAACAGAGATTGATTTAAAGATTTTAAATTATGATTGGTTATTAATTTTCATTGTACACTACATCTATGTATCTCTTAGTTCTAAGTATGTAACAGTGAGACCATCGCACTGATTTATTTGTGTTAACACATAGGAACTAGAGAGTAGTGCTAACAATGCACAGAAAGACACGACAAACACAGAGGCTCAGGGAACAAAGGGTGATAAGTCGGAATCGGTCGTTGATAGCAATTTTCCACAGAGTGAGGCCAAAGAAGATGGTAACTGGAAGGAAGATGATATTTTTCAGTCTGGACAAGCAACCAATGATGAGGGGTACGAAGGAGATATGGAAGGGGATGGCGAACTCATGCCACCTCCATCTACAATACCGTAAGTATTATTTTATTTTTTATTTATTTCAGGATCATCAATGATCAAAATACTTTCTCACAAACAGTTATGGAAACATGATGCAAACCTCTTTTATAGAGGTGACCCTGCAGTAGACTCTCATGGGTTGTCTTGATAGTGATGGCGATGACAAGATCAATCATAGCTTCCATCCAGTTATGTTGTAACTAAGTGATCTTTAATTTTGTTAGCTCGACCAATAAACCATATTATCAAAACTACTTAAATTAGTTTATTATTTTATTTTATTGCTTATATTAAAAATTAGTAATAATGTAATTGAATATGTAATGATTATATATTTCCTATAACTAAATGATTATTGGAAATAATTGAATGGTTGTAGCAATTTACTATGCTTATTATAAATCACCGCTAATGTGAACAGTTAAATTAATAAATTATTTCTTTCTTAGGTCACATAAATCGTCTTCGGAGAGACCAAAACGATTGGAAACTCCATTGGCTGCTATGTTACCGTCTAAGTACGCTAATGTTGATGTGAGAGAGCTGTTCCCAGACTTTCGGCCTGACAAAGTAAGTATTATTAAGTGATAGTATTGATAGTGTGTCTGTGTACGGCCGTCCGTCGCACATTTTTAATAGACTTTACCGGACCGCCGAACCAAATCGACGGTACGGTCCGATCGTCTATTTGTGCTTTAACTGTAGTAGGTATAACTAATTAGTTTTCTTAATAGTGTTATTTTCATAGTTTTCTTCTTTTAACCATATTGATTTCATCTAGGTTTCTGTTAACATTGAGTATTTTTACTTGCTTGAGTGAATTTGAATCAATTTTTTTTAATAATAATGTATTAGATTTTGTAACATATAAAGGATCCACTTATATGCAGATTAATATCATAACTATAGAATACCGAGAGTTTTATTCTCTGAAAAATTGTTAAACGACATAAATTATTTTATTTAGGTTCTATTATTCTCTCGCCTCTTCGGGCCGGGCAAGTTGTCGAGTTTGCCGCAAATATGGCGCGGTGTAAAGAAGCGTAGACGTCGCAAGCGCAGTGGCAGCACTAGTAGTGACACTCCACCGACGCCTGCTGAAAACCAGGAAGTGCAATATGCTAGCGATGATGAGGACAAGTTACTTAAGTGAGTATCAGTTTTTAATGTACATTAAACATGGAAGCAAACTCTACAACTCCTTACAAATGTAATATTAAAGGATGATGGACAAAAATGAATTCGATGAGCTTTGGCATGGTGAACCATGGCTGTGATACCTTTTTAACAGAAATAGTCTGAGCCATGGTGGAGCCAGGTGTATTATGTCCACAGTCTTTTATACAATACATACATAACTTCACGCCTGTCTCCCATGGGGGTAGGCAGAGACTAAGGAACGCCAATTACTCTTACATACATCTTTCGCTTCATGAACCAATCAATCATTAAGAAATCATAAAAAAAAATAATTAAAAATCACATAATTAAAGTTACTATACAGTTACTAAATGTAACATTCATAAAATTACAGGCCCATGGAAGAGAACCAGCAAACGAATACAGATAACAACTCGAACAATTCAAATGATAAGTCTCAAAGACCGACTCCTGCGCACTGGCGGTTTGGGCCTGCGCAGATGTGGTATGACATGCTCAATGTGCCTGAGACTGGAGATGGATTCGACTATGGATTTAAAGCTAAGGTAAATATTTTCATTATTGTGATTATGAAATGAGTGTCTTGTTTTGTCCGCAAAATTCTTAATTATACTTCAAAGGTGTCTCACCTCATTTAAGTATAACTTAAATGCATTTTTATATTTTAAAATATTTGTTTGATATGAAAAGAAACTGAAATAAACTTTGTTTAATCGAAGTAGCATCTATCTAGTAGTAAATACTAAATTGTTCTTTTAGGCACCTTCACCAGAAAGAGAAGAAAATAAACCAAAAGAAGTTGAGGAAGAGAAACCAGAAGAGAAGAAAGATGAAGTGGATTCAGATAGTGGATTCCCAGATGATTCCTTTCTCATGGTATCGCAGTTGCAGTGGGAGGACGACGTCATATGGGATGGAAGCGAAATCAAGCATAAGGTTAGACTTAAAATGGTTTTAGTCAATAGGAACTTAAAAACTAATTGACCACTACCTACATACATTTTTCTTTTATCTCATTTTTTGGGGCTGCAATTAGCTGTACCAGATTCCTGACAGAAAGTGACTTCTTTACTCTAAGCAACTACTTTAAGCTCAGTTTTTGACTCTTCCCCCTCCCCTTTGTTTAGAAACATTGTGAGATTTATAATATTACTAGCTTCTGCCCGCGACTTCGTACGCGCAATCCCATTTTCCCCCCGTTCCCGTTCGTAATTTTCGGTAAAAAGTAAAAAAAAAGTATTCTATAAAAAGTATCGTATGTCCGTCTCCTGGTTCTAAGCTACCTCCCTGCCTATTTTCATCTAAATCGATTGAGGCGTTCTTGAGTTATAAATAGTGTAACTAACACGACTTTCTTTATATAGATTGACTAGCCCTTACAGCAAATACTTAAGATAAATGTTTTACTAGAGTGTAAAGGTGCTGAAGATTGCAGCACGAGATTTTAATTTATTTTCATTGACTTTAGGTGCTAGCTCGCCTAAACAGCAAGAGTAACGCGGCAGGCTGGGTACCGACGTCGGTGAGTAGGACCGCGCAGCAGTTCTCTCACCCGCGCCCGCAACCTCCCGCCCCGCTACAGCCTAAACCACCCACGTAAGTTAAATATCTGCAATATTATATATCTATCAAGAGCCTAATTAGTAATAATTACATATATTTCATTGATATAATAAGTCATAAGTTGTATTAGATGTACGGACTCGAGCCCTAATCACAGAAAATGAGTTTAAATTCTATGTCACTACTTTTAAAACCAGTTTTATTAAATATTCTATGAAGTGAGTCGTCAGTCGTCACAGATGCACTTCTAACCGCTAGATCACACAATCGTTTGAAGTAAAAAATATTTTAGAATGCTCCGTAATATTCTAGAAGTATGATTAATCGCTCTAATAATTTCACAGCGCAACAGCGACTAGTAAAGACGCAGCAGGCAACTCCGCAGACGGAGAAGATAACACGTGGTACAGTATATTCCCGGTGGAAAACGAGGAACTAGTTTACGGTACGTGGGAGGACGAAGTTATATGGGACGCTGAGAACATGCCCGTCGTACCGAAACCGAAAATACTGACCTTGGATCCCAATGACGAGAATATTATTCTTGGAATACCTGATGATGTTGATCCGTCGAAGATTACTCGAGGTAAAGACGTTTTTTATGTTGTTTTTAACAAAGTGAGGTTAATTTGCGTTTGGTTATGTTGTTGATCGCAAAAGTGTTTGCACAAGTTGCACAAGTTTAATTTCGGAATCAAAGTAGTATTTGGTATTTTAATTGGAATGTTTTATTGACCACAATTTAATTTTTAAGAAAACCGAAAATGTGATACTGTTTCACTAATTAGTTAGAGGTATAGTAAATGAGATTTGTAGATATCTTTTCTACACCCTGTTCTGCTGAACACAGATCTAAGTAACACACAATGTATTTATGTTATCTCGAAGTGACAGACAGGGTAACATTTTTATCCTACTATAACTATAATATTTTAAAAAGTTTGTATCTTTGTTACTACTTCACGTCAATACGGCTGAAGAGATGCAAAAGCTAGTTTTTTAATATACAACTCAATGATTTCAGAGAGGGGGCCACAACCCAAAGTGAAGATTCCACACCCACACGTGAAGAAATCAAAGATCCTCCTGGGCAAGGCTGGAGTGATCAATGTCTTACAAGAAGACGCTCCGCCACCGCCGCCCAAGTCGCCTGATAGAGATCCATTCAATATCTCTAATGATGTGTGAGTATTCCTATTGCAGTAGTACACCAGCCATGTTACGTTATTTTTGTGAGCGCATAGGTCTAATTAATTTACTTTTTGCGTGTGTATAGTTTGAAGTAAAATTAACAGGTTACTCTTATTTTTTTAATTTGGTTCGGTGTTGTAAGTCAGACAATTATTTTATCGTAATTGTCTGTTAGTTTTCACATATCATTAGGTAATGACTGTAAGAAGTTAAAACAGACAATGACTTAAAAGTAAGAATACCAATGAAACCAATTTTATTACACAGGTTCTACATGGCCAAATCTCAGAACCCGCGTCTTAAAGTGGGTGGCGGCCAATTGATCCAACACAGTACCCCTGTAGTGGAACTAAGGGCCCCCTTCATACAGACCCACATGGGTCCAGCCCGCCTGCGTGCTTTCCACCGGCCGCCTATGAGAAAGCTGTCCTATGGGCCCTTAGCGGCACCCGGGCCCCATCCTGTGCAGCCACTGCTTAAACATATCAAGAAGAAGGCTAAGGTATGTGTAGACTGATTGATTGAAGACTTACTGTTAAGTTTATAAGGTTCATTTTGCTGGGTACAGCAAAGGTAGTTTGACTTGGTACAGTGACATCAAAAGATTAAATACTAGAGAGTGGAAAATATGAAGATTTAGATAAAATACTGAACCAATTTTTGTTTTGACAAAACTATATTTTTAGATTACTTTTATATAACATAAAGCTCTCTAGAACGCAATTCTTTTTTAAATTGATGCAATACTCAATATCTCCGTTTCGTTAATATAAAATGGCATGAAACAAATCTCACTACCATGAAAAAATACAGTTTACTTAATGATTAACTTAATGATTACTTACATTTAAACCCTATAAAATGTTACCTTAATATTTATATTTACAGCAACGCGAAGCCGAGAGGTTGGCATCAGGAGGTGGTGACGTCTTCTTCATGCGAACTCCAGAGGACCTCAGTGGAAGGGATGGTGAACTTGTACTCGTGGAGTTCTGCGAGGAACATCCTCCACTCATCAGTCAAGTCGGCATGTGCTCCAAGATCAAGAATTATTACAAACGCACTGCTGCTAAGGTATGTTTAAGTTTATATATTCGCCAACTTTGGTCTATTGTCCCATTCATATACGTTTATTTACTCAAGTTTAAGATTTCATACCGTTTAGAAACACATGGAAATTAACGCAAATTCTAAATTAGCTACAAGCACAAACTGGTTAAAATATGATATAAAATTTAAAGAATTCACGTTGTATTTGTGTATTGGTGGTGGTAAATTGGTGGTGGTATTATAAAAGCTTAATTGCAAGTATTTGATAGGAGACATTCAATACATTGGTATACAATCTTCATTTTAATGTCAGAAAAAAGAGGTTGGTTGTGGAAATGAGTATCTACTCATATCCAAGGAAATAAAGGCTCGCAAATGTTGCCAGCTCAGCGCTTAGATTTAAATTCCCATTCACAAAATTTATTGACTTCACCCACACCATCAAAGTTTGTTTACCTTGAAATCCAACTATCCAACAGGATTACCCTCGAAATGTTCAAACAAGGTAAAATAATATAAATGTGTATTTTTATTTTCATTGCCAAAGGGGGCCAAAAGGGCTGGTGCCAATTCGAAGGTAGGCCAAGTTTAAAAGTTGTAAAACAATTTTTCATTATGATTTTCGCTTGGGTATTTTTATATGTGTAATTAGTTCTTCCCCTTGTCTCTTCTGTGTATTTTACAGGTCTACACGTTACTAAATTTACAGGTATCTTGTTAAAAAGCTGCTTCTTCGATGTTTCTTTTTATTTGACTGTTTATTTTATTTACTGTTTATATGTTTGTGGTGAATCAATTTTTTTTTTGAACTTTATTGTAATTGTAATACATGTTTTTATAGGATGAAGGCCCGAAGCCATTGAAGTATGGTGAGGTTGCTTACGCCCATACGTCACCATTCCTTGGTATTTTGCCGCCGGGAGCTACGCAGGCTGTGGTGGAGAATAACATGTACAGAGCACCGATTTACGAACATACGCTGCATCCTACTGACTTCTTGATTATAAGGACTAGGTATGTTATTTTCTGTTTATTATAGATGCTCATTTTATTATCTTTAAAGTGTGAGAAATCTGTTTGCAATAATTTTAAAACTGTTTTTATTTATTTATAATCCCTATGAATGGTAATGATGTAAGTTTTTCGTTTACTAGTTAGTTTTTGAGTCCCATATAAAGGTTTCTCACTGTTGGCATACACATTTCACACCACACTGTTAAAGAATCGACCAAAAAGATTACTTTTAAATTTCAATTTCCACTTCCAGGCAATCTTACTACATCCGTGAAGTGGATGCGTTGTTCGTGGCTGGACAAGAGTGCCCTCTATACGAGGTGCCCGGCCCTAACTCCAAGAGGGCCAACAATTTTGTACGAGATTTCTTGCAGGTCAGTCGGTTGATACTATGAGATATCTAAATTAGTTAATAAATGTTTATTTGATATTTACTTCAATTCATATAACAGTCACGTCCGACGGGACTATTAATCTACCAAATTCCACCAAGCACTATGACTGCGCGGTTGGTGCGGTGACTGGGCAACTGGCTACCGTGCAACGTGTCGCGGGTTCGATTCCCGCACGGACTAACTCTTTGTGAGATGCATAGATTGTTGTTTCGGGTCTGGGTGTAATGTGTATATGTACTTGTATGTTTGTAAACGGACCCATGACACAGGACAAAATCCTAGTGTAGTATCTAGAGGCTAGGTAGAAATCCAAATATTAAATGTAAAATTGATTGAACAAGTTATATTAAGCGCAAAATACAATTAATAGAACTGTCTTTTTACACAAATAGATACGTATAACAACACCATACAACATAATTATAGTAAATATCGTTTATTTTTCTTATTACTCATGTTATTATCTTATTTCTCCAGGTCTTTATATACCGATTGTTCTGGAAATCTCGCGACAAGCCGCGCCGTATTAAGATGGATGACATAAAGAGAGCCTTCCCATCTCACTCTGAGAGCTCCATTCGAAAACGTCTCAAATTGTGTGCAGATTTCAAACGTACGGGATTGGATTCTAACTGGTAAGGTTATTTTGTCTAGATCTTTCATAAAACTATAATACTTTATAGTTAACTGTCTAATTAATATTCATCTCTTTCAGACAAGAAACTAGATTTATTTGTTTAATGTTTATTTCTGACTAGCTGACCTGACAAACTTTGTACTGCTACAAACATTTTGTTTTCATCTTTCGAACCTTTCCTAGTCTTCCACAAATAATTCAAGACCTATATTAGCCAAATCTGTCCATTCATTTTCGAGTTTTAGCGAGACTAACGAACAGCAATTAGTTTTTATATATAAGATGATAAATGATAAATAAGTAGTCCTTGTGAACCATAATTATTTACTACAAAAATAAAAAAATAAGCATAACATAACATCAGGCCTTTTATCCCCGAAGGGGTAGGCATAGTTGCACAATATACCACTGTACAATGTAACACCCACTTTTCACTATTTATGTTATGAGTCCCATGTATTAGGGGGTGATATTGCCATATACCGGGCACAATTTCAGACTCCGTGCTACTACTGAGATTTTTTTTTAATCCAGTAATATTTTGCTCGACCCGGGAATCGCGCCCAAGACCGGCAGTCGCACTTGCGACCACTCGAGCAACGAGGCAATCCTATATTATAAAAATAAGCCCCTATATAATACTTTTTCTAATTCTCAGGTGGGTAATAAAGCCAGATTTCCGTCTACCATCTGAGGAAGAAATCCGCGCGATGGTATCTCCGGAGCAATGCTGTGCGTACTTCAGTATGGCGGCCGCGGAACAGAGGCTCAAAGACGCTGGATACGGAGAGAAATTCATATTCACTCCTCAGGAAGATGATGATGAAGAAATGCAGTTGAAAATGGATGATGAGGTAAGATACTATAAATAAAAATACGTGAAATGGACTCTTGTGAACGATGGTTGGAATTGTGGCGACACATGTCAACGGATGACGTCACAAGAATCCTACATCGCACATGCAAAGTTTACAAGCGAATAAACACGGATAGAAAATCCCAACGAACAACTGTTGGGCAGAAAGCCCGCCAGGCACGATCACCTCGCCTGGTCGGAGGATCCTCCTTTTCCGATCTTAGGGAACTATACTCTCTGTTCCCTAAAGTGGTGACCCCGACGTGATTGGAAACAACCTTCACTTCACGGAGCAGATTAGCACCGTCATCCGTATCGCCATCCCTCTCATTCATCACTTCTCCGCTGAGCGGTAACCAAGTCGCAGCCAACCAGCATCCTCGGCCTCATCAGGGACCACCATTACCTGCAACGAAGTTGTGCAGCCTGGTTCTTCCCTACGGCCTCACCAGCGTCTAGGCACAGCACTTCTGCACACGGTTCTGAAGGACATCTCCTCCCGTCAACGCAGATGCCGGCCACTACGCACCTACCCTCGCAGCATCTCTTCCCCGACTCACCGTGGGACACTGCGAACTCATCTCTCCGACTCACTGGAGTTTCACCCTGCACCGCTGACCCGACTCACTGGGCACTCAGCGGCACGGTTCCGACCCACTGGAACTAGGGACGTTCTACACTGGCTCTGGCACCGCTTATCTCAAGCATCGACAGCAGTCTCAGCGGAATCGACCTCCGGTCTTGGGAGGGAGTGATGTGGCGACACATGTCAACGGATGACGTCACAAGAATCCTACATCGCACATGCAAAGTTTACAAGCGAATAAACACGGATAGAAAATCCCAACGAACAACTGTTGGGCAGAAAGCCCGCCAGGCACGATCACCTCGCCTGGTCGGAGGATCCTCCTTTTCCGATCTTAGGGAACTATACTCTCTGTTCCCTAAAGAATCAGTCGAAAGCGCCTCTCATGAGCATTTCAGATAAGGACGCTTGGTGATTCCATGATTTAGGGCTAATTTTTCAATCATCACTTTCTAAACTGTAGAATAAAACTGACATTTGACAGTTTTTAGTATGGAAGAATTGTCAAATATTGATAGTTATTCCTCAGTTAAAATATATCTGGCGTTGGAAAAATCAGTCCTTAGTAGACTACCTAAGTTCTTTGTTTATTGTTATTTTGCGGTCATATCTGAATTGACCACTATAGCGATATTGGGATCTTTAATAAACCAATTATTACGTTAAATATTGTGGTCCTCTAAATTTCATACCACATTTGTCTATCTATTATATATGAAAATGAAACCCGTTTCCCGTTGTCACGCCATAAGTTAAGAACGGCTTGACCGATTCGGGGGATTTTTGTTGTGTTTATTATATTGTCAGGAGAAGGTTTTTATTCCAGAAAAAAGTCCTGAAAATCCTACGGGAGAAAACGAAATTGCGCGCACGAAGTCGCAGGCAGAAGCTAGTTTGTAATAAACTCATAAATTACGGAACAGATTTTTATGCGGGTTTCACAGTGGCTTTTTGAGTAAGGTTTTAGAATACCAAACGAAACGTATAAGAGCTATGGACAGAGGACTAGACTAAGAAAAATACACTAAGTTCTTACTAAAGATATTATACTAACAAACGATTAATTCCCCAGGTAAAAGTCGCACCCTGGAACACAACGCGCGCCTACATACAAGCGATGCGAGGCAAATGTTTGCTCCAACTGACCGGGCCGGCGGACCCTACGGGCTGTGGGGAAGGATTCTCATATGTACGCGTCCCCAACAAACCAACACAACAACCCAATGAGGAACAACAACCTAAACGAACAGTCACTGGTACTGACGCCGATTTGAGAAGGCTCAGCTTGAATAATGCTAAAGCACTGTTGAGGAAGTTCGGAGTGCCTGAAGAAGAGGTACGTTTTTATTGTTATACTGATTGTAGTATACTGATAGCTTGTGTTTTTAGTTGTTTTAATGTTAATCATTCGAATATAATACTTCCTCTATTTGAAGTTGGTAAAATGTTGCACAGTTATCCAGTCACATTATAATAGTATGGTTTGCATATATCTCATTAAAATTGTATAAAGCACAATGTTTGATATTCTTATCATTGATTCATAATGAAAAGACGACGGCTTCTCACTGAAGCGGATTAGCTACGTGAATATTTTAAAATACAAACATTTGGTAATAGAAACGTAAAGTTAGTATGTAGTTCACATTAAATATTTTTCTTGCAGATCAAAAAATTGTCAAGATGGGAAGTTATTGACGTGGTAAGAACGTTATCTACCGAGAAAGCCAAAGCTGGTGAGGAAGGCATGACTAAGTTCTCCAGAGGAAATAGATTCTCGATTGCCGAACATCAAGAAAGGTAAAAGAAAAGAATATTGTTTTTATATTATTCATGTGATGGTGTAAAAGATCGTATTCGTTCGACATTTATATTGTACCTCTAAAAATGTAATGTCCAGTACAGCATACATAGAGGTACAATAGTTAGTGAATAGTCCTTAATTATTATTAGCGTTTCTTGAACAAAATCAAAGCGCCCTAAAGCTATATCTCTTATTGTGCAGATAGTACATCAATACACTCTTTTCGTCCTTAAATTCTTGGACACAAAGTTAAAAATAGTATGTTCAAAGTGAGATACATTATAAATATCGTATTCTTACAGATATAAAGAAGAATGCCAGCGTATATTCGAGCTTCAGAACCGTGTACTAACAAGCACAGAAGTGTTAAGTACAGACGAAGCAGAAAGTTCTGTCAGTGAAGAATCAGATTTAGAAGAGATGGGTAAGAACTTGGAGAATATGCTCGCCAACAAGAAGACCACGGAACAGGTAAGGTTTTCAATTAGATTGAATTAATTACTTATTTGTAAAGCTTTAAATATTAATGAAGTTGTGTATAGCTTACTCAAATTTAATTGTTAGACAGATTTCAATGTTACTCGATTAGTTTCAAGCCACGGAAAGAGCTCATAATCATGATCGGTATATGCGCCGTGCCTTCTGTTCATAATCACGATAGTTATTATACAAAAAACGATCTGTATGATTCCACAAAAAACAATTATACATTTTGCAAAGATATTATAGTGCTATAAAACTAATTAATTACCTATATTTTATAGCTGTCATTAGAAAGAGAGGAAGCAGAGAGAGCGGAGTTAAGAAAAATGATTCTTGGCCAGTCTGAAAAGAAGCCTCAGATCAATCAAAGCGACCAACAACAGTCATCTAGCCAAGGTAAATATTTCTGTAATATGACTTTATGGTTACATTATAAAAACTCTTTTTTCTCATAAAATGTAACAATTTGACTCGTTATATTTTAATTATTGATTATGTTTTTAAATGACTGCCTCGTTGGCCGAGTAGTCGCAAGTGTTATTGCTGGGAAAGGGGTCGCTGGGAAAGGGGTCTCGGGTTCTATTCTCGGGACGGGCAAAGTATTACAGGGTTTTTAAAAAATTCTCAGCAGCACAGGGTCTAGAATTGGGCCCGGTATATTGCAATAGGTTCACCCCCTATTACATTGGACTCATAACTTAATAGTGAAAAGTGGGTGTTACATTGTACCTCTACAGTGGAATTAAGTGCCGTAATATGCACCTCTGGCTACCCCTTCGGGGATAAACGGCGTGGTGCTATGCTATGTGTTTTTTATAATTATTCTTAACAATAACATTACCTGACTTTATTTTAGCCGGTCGCGTACTCCGTATAGTCCGTACGTTCCGCAACGCGTCAGGCCAACGCTACACGCGAGTAGAGCTAGTGCGCAAGGCTGCCGTCATCGAAGCGTATATGAAGATACGGTCCACTAAAGACGATGCTTTCATACGTCAGTTTGCAACTATGGATGAATCCCAAAAGGAAGAGATGAAGAGAGAAAAGAGAAGAATTCAGGTATATTTTTTGCGCTATCACTTGACTTAACTAATTCCTGTGTAATATCTTGAGTTTGAGAAATAAATAAGTTCTTGAACATGACGTGTGTCTGATATAAATTTCTGAATTGAATTAATTCGTTTGTACAGGAACAACTTAGGCGTATCAAGAGGAACCAAGAGCGAGAACGACTCGCTGGAAACGTAACCGTTCCAGGGCCGTTCCCAGACAGTAAGTTTTTTATTATTTAATTTCACTTCTTAAAAACGTAGTTTATACTCATAAATCAACAAAAAATGTTAAAAATAAAATGTTTTTTTTTTATTTAACTTTATTACATTAATTAATTATTTTTAACAGATTCAATGCTGTCTTCTTCAATGGACATGAGTTCACCGTCGCCTTTGATTCCACTTGGACAAATCAAGCAGGAACCAGATCTTCATACGCCATCATCATCTTCTTCGAGGCGTCGTGCAAAGTTGAAACCGGATCTTAAACTAAAGGTAACTGTGTCTTTTGTTTTAATTAGATTTCCTGTCTCAGGTCTACTGGAAGAAATTCCAACAGGAATAAGTAGCACCTTTGTACTCTTATTTTATATATGTGTTATCCTCTGTGCTGTCTGTGTGTACTTAAATTATTAAATAAAATAAATAAATAACTTTTTGCGCAACTTTGCGCAATGGTCGAGATTTTTAGCGCAATAATTAAGATAAAATAAACATTAGTTTGTATTTTTTTAATATTTTAAAATGAAAAAATGTATTCAGGTTTTCAAAATGAAGCAAGACTGTTAATTTTGTGTTGCGCAACCTGGCGCATATGTGATCGATTTTTCTTTTCAAAAATTTAATAAGCGAAATCAAAATGCTAAAGTTGTTTTTTAATGTTGAATATTTTTCGTTTTCACTATTAATACATGAATATTTGACTGTTCTAGTGTGGTGCATGCGGTCAAGTGGGTCATATGCGTACGAACAAGGCGTGTCCCTTGTACACGGGGTCCATGGGAGGCCCGGTGTCTCCGCCCGAAGTGGACGTGGAACCACCGCCTTTGGAACCTGATGATGATGACATGGGATACGTTGACGGCACCAAGTTGACATTGCCTACGAAGATTATTAAGGTAAGTTGTTATAAATTGTCTGTAAAATTTTGTAAGGTTGTAATATATATATATTGCACAGTTAAAAGATTGATTTTTATTAAGTAAAATCGAGTTTTGTGTTCAATTATTCCTATACTTGATGTAATATTTTCAAAAAACCTACTCGGACGAGATATAATGACAAAAAGTTCTTTATAAAAGATTTTTTAGCTCCATTTTATTTACTTGTTGCTAGCATGTCTTATAACCAAGTATCAGAAAATTGTGAACTCACCATAGCAATTATGTGACATTTATATTTTTTCCGCAGCAATCAGCAGAAGACATGAAGCGTCGTGGGTCGGGTAGACGCTCGGGCGGCGCGGGCGGCAGCGGGCAGGACGGGCGCGGGTCGGGGCGGCGCGCGCGGCGCGGGGCGGGCGGGGACGCCTGCGACTACCTGGTGCGCCGCCCCGCCGAGCGGCGCCGCACGGACCCGCTCGTCACTCTGTCGTCGTTGCTAGAGGATGTCCTGAACCACATGAGGCATCTCCCCGACGTGCAGCCCTTCTTATTCCCTGTTAATCCTAAGGTATGCTGAAAGTCTTTGGTACATAACTTTACCACACAACTCCATTTTTGCCCGTTAATTAATTGTGTCCCAAGTGAACGTAGTAGGTAGTTATAAACACGGAATATAGAATACAATGGAAGTAGCTTGAAACAAAATTTCTGCCAGAACCGGTGTCGCCAAACTAATACATTTATAATTTACTCATACTATAAATCGGAAGTTACGATTGGTTAGAAAAAAAATGGGCGTAAACGAAATGCAAAAAAATATCATACGATATGCAACTTTAAAATCAATGCACTATAAATCAAAATAAAAAAGTATATTTTGGACTACCAAGTACCGCCATTCGTCGCTAGATGGCGTTTAACAATGCCATCTAGCGACGAAAAGTGGTACTTGGTTTGAACTTTAACGTCATAAGAATAAAGGTGATATTTGAATGGCTTATCACTGGCTCGAATGCAAGTCTCTACTCAGATAGTGATGTAGCCTAATTCGATAAAAATAATATCGATAATATGAAAATGTGTTTTAAAAATAATTAAAAAAAATATTGACTGCGATAGTGTGACATTATTAAAATAATAAAATTAATATGTCGTTGATAACTTTTTAAACGTAACAAAAAAGGGTAAGTATTTATTTGCATGTAAATTAAAAATCATTTTGTTCGTATTTTTTATTAGTTTCTTTTTTCAAAAAAACATTTTTTTTTATTTCACATAGGCAATATATGTAACAACTATTACATAAATTTTTAAAAACTTTATATGGATAATGTGATAAATGAAGTGCTCCGTGAAGTGAAGGTTGCTTCCAATCACGTCGGGGTCACCACTAAAATAATAATAAAAAAATAATTTAAATAAATGTTACATTACACTTGCATCGATATCGATCGATAAATTCAATATGTGATTTGACTACATCACTATTTGAGTAGCGTAGAACTGGCGAGAATGTTCTATTGAATGGAATAAATCCAAAATAAACTTTATCTTGAAGGCGTAAGGTTGATTTTGACTAACCGTTTTAGTAAATAATATTATTTTAATAACCGTTTTTGTAAATTGAAATAAAATAAGATTTCTACAAGAAAACAATGAAAATTGTACTTACCGATGATACGAAACACCTCCATTTTTATGATTTTTCGGCTGCTATCAATTTTACACGCCAAAACGGAACAAAACGGCATAGTTGAGGAAATATGTATTTGTCACGAGACTAGAAACTCGACGCCATATTCGAACGAGACTGAACTCGAATTTGCCTCGAGTACGCAGTACACGGCTCAGTTGTGGCACGCGTGCCACGCCTACTTGCTACTTCCATTGTATTCTATATTCCGTGGTTATAAAAATCTTTCATCAGTAAATGATTTCTACAATGTGAAAAACTGGGATACGTTTTTTTTCTGTACTCTGTTCACATCGAAGATTTCCTCAATGAAAAACACAAATTAATATGCAATTTGACGTAATCTAATTAATCAGGTTCTTGTAATTTAAAAAAATTTGGCTGGACAATTTATATTTACATTTTATTTTCATTTCCCGAAACTAAATGAATTGTTTTAATCCCAATTGCCGGAATACTGAAACGTTACTCAACTTTAAGTCGCGCTTAGATATAGTCTGTGTAAATATAAAATATAAATAAAATATCTTATAAAAAAAGAAACATATTCCAATATACATTCTCTCTCCACAGTTGGTAGCAGACTACTACCGCATAGTATCTCGACCGATGGACCTGCAAACTATCAGAGACAATCTAAGACAGAAACATTATCAAAGCAGAGAGGAGTTCCTGGCAGATGTCAACCAAATAGTCGAGAACTCGACTCTTTACAACGGTACTAACGGTATTCTAGAGTGGACTGTTTTTTTATTATTTTAGTTTTTAATTTATTATTTACCGTTAAAGGTATATTCTTATTACTATACTACCTCCTTATTTATGTAGTTTAAAGTAGTAGATGGCATGTGCATGCGTTTAAATTGATTTAGATATTTGAAGTTGATTTTTTAGTTGGATTCGTAATATTTTGAGATTTGCATGATTCGTCTAGTGCGTGATGTCCACTAACTATGATTATCGAGGATAAGATGTCAGGTTCGACCCCTGGTTCTAGTAGTGTAATTTGGGTTTTTACAATATCAAAGTGAACAGTAATGAAGCATGGAGTATGGAATCAAATCTCATGTATAGCAAGTAATGGAATGTATTAGTAGAAAGTAGCAATACTTTGAGCACTGTTATCTACATGTTTGAGGATCATCATTCGTGATTTTATGTTATAATACTTATAATGTCTGCATGAGGATAGTTTGTTGCATACATTATTATTAATCGCATTTAGACATTGAAATATTGTTAAATTCTGGAAATGTGGTAGTTTAATTACTAAAACAAAGGCTTTAGGTTCGATTCCTACATCAAAACCAACGATGATAAGATTGGAACAAACAAAATTATTTTTCAATGCATGAAACCTGTAATATTGACATTAAATTGTGTACAACGATTCCTTAAAAAATATCATTACTGTCTCTAAGGACCGACAAGCAGTCTGACGGTAGCCGCGCAACGAATGCTCCAGCGATGTGTCGAGAAGTTAGCTGAGAAAGAGGAACAACTGATGAAACTCGAGAAACAGATCAATCCACTGCTTGATGATAATGATCAGGTAATTAATCATTATATTATTGTTTTATAAGTTTTTTTATGGGACTAGTCTAGGCCGACTGGGCTAGACTAGGCCGGTAAAAGAGCAAACGGATCACCTGATGGTAAGCAATCGGCGTCACCCAAGGACACCCGGAACACCAGGGACGAAACAAGTGCGTGACCGCTCTTTTGGGGTTTAGTAAATTGCGGATAGTTGGGAGATTGTGGAGGTGGGTAATTGGGCATCCGGCAATCTCACTCATACGACAAAACACAACGCAAGCGTTGTATTACGTATTTGTTTGGTCTGGACGAGCCGACCAAGAGATGTTAGGTCCGATTCCTGAGTTGATTCAAGTGTTATCAACAGCCTATTATAATCCATTGCTGAATTATCAGCTCTACATAAGAGTCAAAAGTATAGTATGATGGTGAATTGTGATCGTCAATTGTTTTTTGTAATAGTATGGAGTATGGCTATTGGCGTAACCTTATTATATGAGACTTACTATCTTCTGTCCGTGGCTTCATCCACGTTGCTGTGGGATAAAAAGTAGTCTATGTGTTATTCTGGACCATAATCTATCCTTGTTCCAAATATCATCGCGATCCTTACAGCAGTTTTGACGTATTTGAGCAACAAACATACACATAAACACACAAACATACAAACTTTTACTTTAACTGATGTCTGTCTAAAAATGTAGGAACTTTAACTACATTTCTGCTTACCTCCCCAAGCTAAGGTATTCAGTACTATTTATATTACTCAATGCTAATATGAAATTATTCCGCAGGTGGCGTTATCATTTATCCTAGAGAACTTATTGACAACTAAACTGAAAATAATGCCTGAGGCGTGGCCATTCCTGAAGCCGGTAAACAAGAAACAAGTGAAGGACTACTACAATGTCATCAGGAAACCTATCGACTTGGAGACTATGGGCAAGAAGATACAAGGTATGCAATAAAACTCATTATGTAATACTAACTTCTTACTTCATCAGCTCTGCTCGGCGCGATTGATCGTAGCATGAAGTGTAATAGCCTTTTGGGCTTGTACACAAAACTGCGATGCGACGTCGCACCGCAAAAATGTGCGAGCTCGTTCTACGCATCGCAAGAAATTGCGAATTGATTCGCATCGCGCATCAAAATCTTATCTTCCCAAAATCTTCTTTGTTTCTTTTCCTGTTTCTCTTAAGCAATAACAGAAGTGCAGGCTTCTTTTTACGATCCATGTCACAACCTAGTTTTCAATTTAAAATACGTTTAGTACGGTTGACGTTCGTCGAAGGAATAGTCACCCTGGGAGACGCCTTGTCAAACGAAATCGCATCGCAGCAATTCGCATCGTATCGCACTGCAGTTTTGTGTATGAGCCTTTCTCGATAAATGGGCTATCCAACACAAGAATAAGTTTTCAAATAGGACCAGTAGTTCCTGAGATTAACGCGTTCGAACAAACTCTTCAGCTTTATTTAAATTAAAAGTATTAGTTATATGAATTTGAGATTTGATTCACTAATTTGACGCTTGTAAGAAAACTATTTTGATAAGCGTAACTGACGAAAATGAATGCTAGTAAGCATTATAGCAAGCTAGTATAGCTTTGCCATGATATTATGTAGATTGATCTGGTTCTATATTAGCTGATGAATCTATGGGCTTGAGATTTTACTGAAACAAAAGTTAGTAAATTTCGTTTATTGCGCGAAAAACTTATTAGGTGTCTAATTAATATTGTTGCTATAGTTCGTAATTCTAACAAAATTAAAACTCCAACTTAAACATTAAATCACTTATCATTATTTATTATGTTTCCGGCTTACTCACATAACTGTTTGACGAGGAACTCGACGAGTTTCAACCCATGCTAGAAGCTCATATTCATGAGCAACATTCCGCGATCCGCGACGCACTGACTATCGCGCTGCTACTGAAATGGCTTGAAACTAGTCAAGTTCCTCGTTAAACAGTAACGTGAGTAAGCCAAAAATATAATAATTAATTTAGTACGTGTCACGAAAGTTATAAATGACTTATTATTATTATTCTTTATACGTTTTTAATGTCTTATTTCCTTCATCGTAGCTCACAAGTACCATAGCCGCAACGACTTCTTGCGAGACATCCAGTTGTTGGTGGACAACTGTCGCGCTTACAATGGACCCAACTCACAGTTCACGAGACAGGCCGAAATCATACTCAAGGTCACACAGGAAGCTCTGGAACAGGTGAGATATTACTTTTGTACGATAAATGTCTTAAAATATCGGAAATATGTGTTGAAGCGTAATTATTAGATAAGAAGGTTTTATAGTTTACACAAATTTTTTATGCGCCTTCAAGGATATTGGATTTTAAAATGCCTAAGTTTTCTTCGAATGTTGCTTTAGTCTATCACATCAACAGCCTATAAGTGGCCACTGCTGACCAAAAGCCTCTTCTCACACGGAGAAGGTTTGAGCATTAATCACCATGCTTGCTGAATGTGGGAATGCTAAATGTCGCGGAGACCCTAACGGGTAACCGGGGCTCCGGCTCGACGTGCGGTTGGAACGGGGTGGTTTTTAGTCAGTTTGACACTCCCTTCCGCCTCACCCAGGCGGGAGCAGTCATTCGATGATTTTCCCCCCTTAAAAAAAAAATCTATGCTAAATGCATTTTCTACCTTTAAAATGGTTGTCAAGTTATTTCTGATTCTTATTTTGATTTATATTCTATTAGATTCAGACCTTAATACCTAAAAAATAAAACTCAAATCATCTTTATTAAACTGTCAAACACCAAGCGGTCACCGGTGACCGCGACCTATTGTTCTTTAATTGTGTCTATAATACCGGTACTCAACGAGTTAATCATAAAATATTTTCTTTCCTAGTTCGGTGAGCACGTAAGTCAGCTAGAAGCGAACATATCCCGGGTACAACAGAAGATGTTGGAGGAGGCGGATCACTCCGACTTGGATGTAGAGGACCCGGTCCCTCCGCCCTCCGATGAGAAGAGAGGCCGCGGACGACCGAGGAAGCATAAACCTTCCACTTCTACTTCTGCTGCTGATGGTAAGAGATCTTTCTTGTTCGGGATTTTGTTGAGATGTTACTGAAATGAAGTATGGTCTTAAGTTAATGACATAAGGTTGATAATAGATTTTAATTTTGATCGTAGACCATTTTATAGTTTAGGTGAATGAAGAGTCACCAATAACGATAAATTTGCTGGTACTTTTTAACATAAGTGCCATAAAAATGCATTGAAATTGGATCTTAGTCCAAATGTGTGTGTGTATTGAGATTTGACTGTAAATCTAAAATATTGTTTTTCATCAATGTTATTAAATCATAATTGAAACTTCACAGGTGCAACACCAAGGAAACGAGGAAGACCAAGGAAAGATCAGAATTCATTGGAAGAAGGTATGTGTACAGTTTTAGTGCTATTATTAATTTCATTACTCTGGACTTGTTTTCTTAGTAGGTGCTGGATGGTTTCAGTTTATATTTATTGATTGAATTCGGGGTTAATGACATTGCAAAAAATTAAAAACTAAGTGCTTCCTTGGAGGCCACATCATTCAAAAAAATCTTAAAAATATACCTTAAATCTTGCATGGAAGGTGTATGCCAAAAATTATAAATGGAATTTAAATAAAAAGTTAAGAACAAAACACTGAACTGTAACTAAAAACAATAAAAAATGTAAAAAAATATATGGCACACATCAAATAAAACATAATCAAAAAGAAAGAAAAAGCATTTATTCGACAGTAGGCACGCACACAGATACAAAAAAATAATAAGACATATTCATAAACTGTAATTGTGTTTGCACTGACTTAAATGATACTATCTTTTCGAATAAAATATCTATCTTTGCTTAATCTTGCAAGCAACAGTTCTAAATGTATTGTTCACTTTTGTCGTTATCTAGATCTCCAGTACAGCGACAGCGGCAGTTCCGAGCTGGAGGAAGTTGAGCAGAAAGTGGCTGCCGAGGCTATGGTGCAGTTGGCTGTACGACCACCGTATCAGGGTGAGTTAATCAAAATATATAAAAAATACGAATGTACCATAATGTGAACTAGTTTCATCAGATTAAGTGCAGAAAGGTGAATTGGGTGCTAAAGCAAGTGTATTTGAAAAGTCTTTTGCGGTTTGAACATGAATAAATTGAAATGTTCAAATTTCTACCTTTTCACCACGTGGTCTGGCAGAGAGTCGTGTTTGGCACAATGCGATCTAACTATGACCTAAGTGCTAGTAAATACCTAACAATAGGACCTACTTTCACTGATGGACAGACTGACAGACTATAATTTATTTTGTACTTGTTGACGTTTCAAAAGTACCTGTAAGGTGGTGCATCGGGGAGATTAGAGAAACAACTTTATTGTTTGAAGTTACATTTAATACTACTGTAAATATTGGATACAATCGGATATATATGGATTACACACTTAGATCTAGCAATGGACATGTATACATACATACACACTACATACCTACCAAATTATGGTTTAATTGAAATTAATGCTTTGACTTTAATTTTTAATATTTAATACATAATTATTTTCGTTTCAGACGATGATCCGCCTCTAGGCGAGCCAAGTTTCGATACATCAGAGTTCCTAATAAAGCGTGAGGTACCGGACGAGCCGCCACAACCCTCGGACGATTTCGTGGACCTAGACCAGCATAGTACTGACTATTCGTTCCCACCTGTAGTTAAGGTAAGAAATAAGTTTTTAATTTATTTTATTGTAGGTAATATTCTTATAATAGAGATTGACAGTTGATAGTTGACACTCAGCTTAAAAACTCCTTGCGTCGTCGGTTTTGTGGTCGTAATTGGGTACTTGCCAACTAGTCAAATTCAATACTTTTTTCGAAATATCAAAAACGACAGATTTTTATGATTTTTTTACGAGATTGTGTATTGTGACGTCACATTTTTTTAGCATCAAACAGAGTAGGTACTTTTTTCTGAAAAAATGGCTGGAAAATACTAAAATTAAGTTGGTCATAAAATCAATTAATGAATGTGTGATTATTTTTAACATTTTATTGTATTGAACACTCGAAATAATTCATTTTTGATTAAGTAAGATACCCAATTGTAAGACGAACAAGGAGTTATTTTGCATTTCAATTTTTAATTCTTCTATATTCTGTTACAACCTATACACATTACCATTCCAAATTTCGCAATGTTGCTGAAAAATCTCACTTCCCGAAATTAAATTCGACACCATTTTATCTGATTACGAGTACTCTATGAACGAAGCGACTATTAACAAATAGGCTATATTTAACATACTAAATGTATGTTTCGTTCTTAGGAGGAGCCAATGGAACCAGACATGGGCATGGATCAACAGATGATGGGAACCGCAGGACTGGAACCTCCGCCACAGTTCAAGGAAGAACCGCCAGAAAACTGGCAGGTAAGACATAGCGTCATTGACTTAATTCTTCTAAGTCTATTATTAATCCTTCAGTTTAAAGATACCACCGTACCGTACTTTAAAAATATACTTTATACATTTTCAACCTTATGTATCTTAACAGATAAATAACATTAAAATGTCTGTTTGTAATATTAAAATAACCGCTTTTTACTCCTTACATATGAATATACTAAGATACCCATACCAAAATAACATTTTTATAATATTTGTCTGGCTTTGTTTGTCTATCTGTTTGTACTGGTTAAACTCTAGAATGGCTGAATTGATTTTCACGGGATCTTTATTGGCAGTGGAATGACTGGACCGATTTTACGGAACTTTTATTAGCAAGTAGCTAATGTACTGAGTATCATAGGCATATCTGCACATAAATAATAAAGATGAAAATAAAGAAGTTCCCTATTAACTACACTATACATGTTCTACCAAATTTTGACTGCATTACATGTAAACAAATTATTTTTATAATAACTATCGTGAGACATACTAAACTGACTAAAAATCGCGAGTCACTCACGTGAGTATACTGAGAAAAGCTCTACTAATTTCGGACCATAGAGGGGTTCTTCCTCATAGCAGCGCGCGTGGTCGCGGCGATGTCGCGCAGCCTACTAAAGTCAGAGCTTTTCTCAGTATATTCACGTGAGTAACCCACGATTTTTAGTTAATAAACAAATAATTCTTGAAATATATCATTTATTTCTTTCTTTCGCAGGCCGATCCTGCGATACAAGACGATTTACAAGTCACGGACAGTGAGGAAGAGCCGGAAGATGGACTTTGGTTCTAAATTAACTATATTTATTTGTCTAACAATATCTCTACTGAACATTAAGATGTTATACTACTACATAGTATAAAACAAAGTCGCTATCCGCCGACTAACTGTCCCTATGTATGCTTAGATCTTAGAGTGATTCTTAAGGAAGGTTTATATATATAAAACATGCATTTTGGACTCGTGCGAAGCCGGGGCGAGTCGCTAATTACAAATATATTATAACTATACAGACTGTTAAATATAAGGTGTTAAGAGTTGTCTGTAAATACTTTAAGAGCTTATTCAGGGGTTTTCAATGGCGTGTATTTGAATAGTTGCTTTACTGAATTGTACATTCAATTTTGTATAATTTGGTATCCTTTGGTTTCTACTTTCTTTTTTGTTATCATTCTTGACTGAAACGACTAAATATTTTGTTACATTTTCTAGATATGATTCTTAGCACCTTATAATTCATGTGATAGATACTTAAATATTTGTTGTAAACTATGAGTAAGAGAAATGAATATTATCATGATTAAGTTTAATAAAAATTATTGTTATATCAAATGTTTTTTGTATAGGAATACATAATTTTAAGTGAATATATTTGTTTTTATTTTTCATTCATATTACTACAGACTACCACCCACCTCATCATTAGAATCCTTAATCTTTTGGCTCCAAATACAATTTGAACAAAGTACAAAAAAAATATCTATTGAAAATTCGGTATCGATAGTAGGTGAAAGTACCATGAACGGAGCAACATGGACCTAAATCGTATATAAGTAATAATAAAGGGAGTTTCGAAATCGAAAGTTAATAACTGCAGTTGTAGCCACATGCCATTTAGCGCTTGTCTACTTGTAAAGTAGAAAACTAAATTGTATGAAATTGACGTAAATTTTGATACTTGGTCAGTGTCATTCCCATACATTTTGATTTCTACTCTCTCTGTAGACAAGCGGTAAAGTGGCGTTTGGCCTTAAGGCAAAGGCGAGATAGTCTCCAAACGTCAGTCCCATCTAATATAAAAAAAAAGTTAAATAAAACATCTATGTCAAACATTTCACTTGACTCGGAAACTAAAGTAAAAAAGCACACACCCATAAAACAATGATTTACAACAAACAAACCTAGGAAAACAGATTTTCAAAACAGTAAAAAGCTGTTGCGATATCGTTCAAATTCCAATGATCCGAGTCGGACCCGGGTAGCGATAGATTGCATTGCCAACGTAGGCATTTTAATAGCGGCGCGACTAGGATGCATCGCGTTCCAGGCATTCATTGTTCAGTTCGGAGTTTCGGAGGCTCGGATCAACTCTCGAGTTCCACATGGGTTAGGTAAACTCGTTAGCCTGTTGTGCTATATATACGTTTACTAGGTATAGTTTTTTCTAAAAACCAAATGGTAAATAGTACTAAAACTGTATAGGATAATTGACTGCCAGTTAGAGCGCTGCATGATCCCACTAAGGGCCCTCGCCAATTGCGACTTTTTGTAACGGTGCAGTCGTTCACTAGAAGCACGACAGCATTACTACTTACGTGTGTTACTTTTGTATGCACTTCGCGACTGTATCGATGCGGACAGCATCGCCACTGCATCGCTACAAAAAGTCGCCGTGGGCGGCGGCCCTAAGATGCAAGGATATTAAATAGATATTTCTCATAAATCTCCTTAAAATCTTGCAATATCTCAAAATCAAAATATAGAGGTCCTAGCTAAAAAGTAAAGTAAGTTTCTTAACCCTCGTAAAACTGATTGATGGACATGATGAGAATATGGAATGCATTGCATTGGACCTATTTACAAACCTCAAATAGGGTTCTAACCGACAATAATAATATTTGAGGAGAGGGTAGGTAGTTTAGGACTGGACGACCCTTAGTCCAGTCGAAAATGTTGGAATATCTCAAAATGCAGTTAAAATTCGCGAAATTTTCACGGCCCTCCTTGGGTGACAGCCCCCGTAGTGATATCCTTTGCAGTTTGCTGATGGATGGATGAGATGGGCATGACCTTAGCCTGATGCTGATGTGATCGAATAAATATCTTCATTTTAGACAACAATTTATAGGTACAAAATATTTGATATCTTTCTCTGTCTCTATTAATTATTGTACCATCGACAATCTACGAATAAGTATAAAGATTTTTTCTAGGTATGTACAATAATGTCTAGTTATATAATTATAGGACAATACATGTCATATTTTCTGGATATCAAAGCGTGTTTGTACCTACGAAGGTATGTTTCACGTGGGACGTATTATGCGGAACAGTTTTTCGGATGAGACATTCCCATTCAAATGTATGCTAAACGTCTAACCTTAGTTGCGAGACGTATGAATAAAACAGGACTATATCCGCGCCGTTATCTCGATGCGGACCTCCATAGTCTCATGGTGGTAGTTCTAAGGAATTTGCAGTTCAATGTACTTACCCATTACGGACTGTTTCGTTAGTCAGCAGGTCTAGCTTTAGGTGTGAAAATTCTCGAGAAAATATGTTTTTTTTGTAGGTGTTCAGTGCATACTGCACAGTGAGGTCCCTAAACTCGACAAAGGATTACCTGTCGACCTGTCAACGATTCTTCCCTTGGGTGAGGCAAGAAGAAGTGTTACTCTTACTGACTAAAAAACACAATGTTCCTACTCGTGCTCTTCGAGCCAGAGTAACTCGTTAAGCCTATTGGCAAATTTTACAGCCTGGTGATTTGTTTTCTTACTGGAACTTGAGAAAACTGGCGAAAAGTAGAGTGTAGACTACTACACTCTACTTTTCGCCAGTTTTTGTAAGTAAGGCTATATCTGAACTGATCCGAAGCTATATCTGATATCTATAATGACCTTATACTATGAACGCAGCTACGTTTCATACACAAAAACAAACCATTCCAAATATCCTATTTTCCATAACCCACCTTACACTGATACCTTTTTATTATTCCACAAGAGGGCGACACAGATAAGTTGATAAGTCACCAAGCGAAGCTATTAAGTATCGATATTGGAGGTAGATAAATCCCCGCTGTATTTGAAATTTGCAATCATCGAAGTGTTCACAGAGAGCCAATCAAATTGGCTCGATGCATAGAATACAAATGAGCTGGGTTTAAACACACTTACCCGTAGGTGCCAATTTTGCGAAATCATACCGTTTGAATATTCATAAAAGACTGAATTTTATTAACATAATTGCATTACTGCATACATCGAGGGAACAGCACTAAGTGTAATTTACTTCCTAGAATATGAAGTACTTAGTTTAACAAGCATTTTTTTATGTTTTATTATTCATAAGTTCATTTGAAAGTTTTATTAGTGACCTGGAGTGCATACCCAATTTGAATCGAGCTGTTTGATCAATTTACGAGTACGATGAGCTAGCGAATCCAATTACAAAGTAGTAATTCGAGTCCAGTGTCTGTAATAAAATATCTAACTTTTAAATTAATTATGTTGTAAAGTAGGACGAAAAGACAAAGACAAGAAGGCTTAAGTAATTAGGTACACCTTAAAGAAACCACGGAACATCTATAAATAATCCAAGAAGAACCGTATGTATTACCTACAGATACATAATTGAGCGAATTTCGAATAAGTAAACGAACGCCAACCCGAGGGAAAACCGCAGACCAGCGTTTTTATACCCTCATAAGCCATCAAAAATTAAAACGTTAGGTAGGCACATAAATCACCTAACCGATTGGGGATTTTTGTTATTCATCTCGAATTTCCCTTGGCATCACGATATTTCATTAATATCTAAGTAATACTAGGTATTAAATTTACTTCAGACAATAATAATAGGTACCTACTTTCCATTTTACTGTAAATACAGTTACCATCAAAAGATGATGAACTCATTTTGATTTTGAAAATCGCTGTACCTATATCATACCTTAATCGGTCAATATGACAAGCACCAGAAATAAATGGTTATCATAAAAGGGCATAACATGATGACAATCACTTTCCTAATTAATAAAAATATAGTAAAAACCACATAACACTCTTCGTCTCTGAACAATTATTTTGACAAAATCAACATACCATCGTTTATCTCTAAAGTCCCTGAATAAAATGATAGTTCCTTTTTTTTAAACATTGCCCCAGACTAGGATTTTCTCCTGTGTCGTGGGTGTGTTTACAAACATACAAGTTCATATACACATGACACCCAGACCCGAAACAACAATCTGTGGATAACAAAAAGTGTTGTTCCGTGCGGCAATCGAAACCACGACACGTTGCACGGCAGCCGGTTGCGCAGCCATCAGCCATCAGCCATTGCAGTAAATTTTTGGGTTTGATATGTCTGTTTTTTTTCGGTAGGTATATGTATTTGGTATACAAATTAAGTGTAGACTACATATAAGTTCGCGGAGAACCTAACGGGTTACCGGGGCTCCGGCTCGACGTGCAGGAGAAGGAACGGGGTGGTTTTTAGTAAGTAAGAGTCTGACACTCCCTCTCACCTCACCCAGGCGGGAGCAGTCATTCGATGTGTAACACTCCGTGTCACAATAGGTACTAATTGGCTCGTTACCACACCAGTAAGCAGGCAGACATCCGTCGTCGCTCGTAGCTGTCGTGCAACTGTCCGCCCCACTACCCGTGTGCTCGAGACAACGTCATGTTTATTTACTAGATTATATATATCACAAACACTACATCCCTTCCTTAATGTAAATTTATTAATCAAAAGATGTTGTTTACATAATCATATTACAAAGTTATACAATCAGTTGATTATTTGCTTTTATTATCCTCCTGTATAGTAGTGCCTTGCTCTTCTCCTTGAACTTTCCATTCACCTTCTACTTTCTTTAAGTGAATAACATTACGTCTTAGTCTTTGGCCTGTTTCCTCATTTCTTACTATAACATCTCCACCGACCGAGTGTTCTACAACATGCGGTGTCGGTTTAAAGGTAGTAGATAGCTTATTTCCTTTTTCCATATCTTTTATATATACTTTATCTCCTTCCATAAGTATTGAATTCTCGGCGTGCCGTTT